AAAAAAAAAAAAAAAAAAAAAAAAAAAAAAAGAAAAAACGACCAAAACCCGGGCTGCGATTGCTACCGAGGAAAAGAGGCGTTTCTCCCGAGTCCTCAGTTTCGGGGTCCCTGTGTCGTCGTCCCCCCCCCCTCCCCCCACCACGCGTGTCGTCCAAGTTTGTTTGTCCCTGTTTTGGGGGACCGTAGCTCCACCTGGGCTAACAGCCCCCGTTTCCCAGCCCAGCGACTGGGGGACCGGGCGGGATGCGGACAGTCCCAGCGGTACTCGCAGGTGCAAATCTGCCTTCGCATGAGCGCGGGGGGACGCGGCGTGAGCAAAAGTGCGGGTGACTGCACGGTCTCCTTCGATAAGCGACATCCAATTCCCAGCGCGGTGGATTGAAGCTGAAATTTGGCGGTGGTGTGTTTTAGCTCTTGGTCTTGGAAAACATCGCCGTGATAAAACTCCTTTTGCGCTGCTTGCAGCTTCTGTGGGGAACGCGGTTTTCTCTCACGCAGTCGTGCACCGGCGGTGAGAAGCAGCCGGAGGAGGGCTTGGCTGCCTGTGACAGAGCGATCGAGAATGAAAACTCTTTGGCGTTGTGAAATGTTTTGATTTTTGCATCAAGCAGTCCGTACCTGGGGAGAATTTTCAGCATTTGCGCTTTTTATTGGTGTACCTTTGAGATCCGAACCAAATCTCGTGTTTAATTATTAATTTCAGAATATTTCCAATCCCGCTGGCAGAGGACGTGTTTGGAGGGGTGGCAGTGACGGCGCTGCCGAATGAGCCTTTAACCTGGAGCCTCTAAATTGCTGAAGCAGCAGCCAGTAAAACAATTGTGGCTAATGGTAGTCTGACACAGTGTTCCCGCTGCACTGCTTCGGGAGACGGCGGGACACATCAAACAGGGGCTTTGTAGCTCTCTGTGACACAAACTCTTGGTGACAAGGTGACAAGGTGAAGCATGCCAGGACGCGTCTCTCCCTGTGCAGGCACGGGCTGGGAGCTCTTGGGGAGGCAAGGTGGTGGAAGGAGCAGGAGGGGACTAGTGGGGCTTCGATGGTGTCAGAGTCGCTGGGTGCCAGAGCTGGGGGAGTCCCGCGGCGGGGGCCAGGCAGCAGGGTCGGGATGGGTATGGAAATGGCAGGAAAATGGGAGCAGGACGGTTGGGCAGAGGGGAGGGGGAACTGGCTGGAGAGCTGATCAGGGGGAAAAAATAGGGGTGAAGAGCTGGAGAGGTAAAAGGGAGGTTGGGGTGCCGGGGAGAAGGGGGTTCCTGTGCGCCAGCCCCCTTGAGTTCGGCTCACCCATCATATGGGCAGGGGACGGGCAGCGGTGCTCGGCACATCCCTGTGAGCAGCGTGACGGTGTGGGGGGTGCAGCGTCCTGGAGGGATACGGGACAGTTACACTAACGAGGGTGTTTACCCCCTGCTTGGGCACTTCATGCTGGGAGGCTGGTCTGTGGGAGCGCTGGGAGCTGGGGCTGCGGGGGCTAGAGGAGCACCGTGTGCACCCTACGTAGTGCAATTCCTGAAAAAAGTGATACCTCAGCTTCAGGATGGAGACCTGTCTATTTTCATTCTCAAATTATTTAAAAAATACAAGTTTCCTCTGCCCTAAAAACATCATCCCCTGTCACGCTCCCTTTGTATGACTTGGTTGTCTTCCCACTGGCTCTTCCCAGGCTTTTCCCGTGGCGGGTGAGCCCTGTGCACCTCCCCGGGGTCAGAGCGGGGCTGCTGCGCGTTGCCTCGATCACACGGAGTGCACAGCGTGGTCCGTGGGGGTGGGGGAGAGCCTCGGCACCCCCTGATGCTCCCGTCACGCCTGGGCTGTGCTGAGTGCCGCGTCCAGAGGCGAGACCTGCTTTCCTTGGCGAGCAGAGCCCAGCTTGTCCTGGGGATGGGACAACTCAACTCTGCTGAGCCAGACCTTGCAGGGAACTGGAGCTCCTGACGGTAAACTGGGGAGTTTCTCCTCGTGACTGTGGGCTGTGGCAGCTTGGCCGTGCCCAGGCTGCTGCAGTGGGTGGAGGATGGAGACCCCTGGGTGGGCAGAGAGGGAGGCTGCGGGCAGTGGGGCTTTGTGCCAGCAGCTGCCTGGGGTTTTGGTGGAGTCGCTCTCTGCAGGGTGGTGGAGATGGCAGGAAGGTGCCTGTGGGCTGCGTGACACTGTAGGTGCGGCTGTACTTGGACAAGCGTAGCCCAAATGCTGTCTCACCACCGCCCGCTCTGCGCCGTGGGGAGCTGTGCCGCCTCCGGCTCTGCCAAGC